TTTTTGTTTGTTTTTTTAGAAATCTGTCTTTCAGGTTTGCCAGAAGGTAGGCGTTGAGCCCACTGTGTGTGTGTGTGTATGTGTGTGTGTGTGTGTCCTGTGTCTGTCCTGCTCCATCACTAACCCCCCCTCTAGCTCTTGATTCCTCTCCATCTGCTCACCTGCTCTGTGTGGCCCTCCTCTCTGCCATCTTAAAGGGATGAAGACTGCTCTGACTAGGCCTCAGCCTCAGTCCACCTTCCCTGCCCCCTTCAGACAGGCAAGGCTCAGAACATAGGGCCCCTCCGAGGCGACTTTGAACCCCCAAGGCAAATGGCTTTGAAAGTAAGGGGTCTTCCTTGGGCCACAGGTATACCTTTCCTCAAGCAAGAGACCTTTTCAGGGATTCTCCCTTTAAGATTGTCTCCTTACCCACCCCAGGTTTTGGTCACAAGCATTGGGTTCCTTCTCTGGCCCTTCCCCTTGTCGTGTGCATGCGCTATAAGGAGGCTCCACTGGGGTAAAAATGCATCTGGGATGGCATCTCTTGGGGTCTCTTGGATTTGCTGAGCTTCAGGGCTGTGACCTCTTCCTCCCTGGCCTATCTGATGGCAAGATTTTTGAGGTACTACAGGGACATTGGGGTCCCTAGGCTAAAGTCTGACTCTTCCAGGCCAAGGGAGCCTTTGCCTCATGAATGGGGCGCAGCACCCCCTTCTGGCAGCTCCTGCAGAACCAGCCTAGCCCACCCTGCCTGGCATATTGCCTCCGGCAGCGTTTGATGAGTCAAGCCTTCTCTCCTCCGGGCTGCTTCCTCCACATGTGTCCTGTGCCTGCCAAAGAGCCAGGAGCAAACAATCTCTGACAGGGGCCATTCTGCCTCCAATCCCTGACAGAACATCAGGAGAACCTCACTTGTGGCCAGGATCCTGGCTCTTTGAGTCCTGGCCTAACGTCCTCTCCGTGGCCCTGGGTGAGCCAGATACCAAGCTGCAGACCAAAGACCAGGTGGGACCCTAGGTCACCTGGTCGGCATATTGGTATCCCAGCTGAGGGAGAAACAGGCCAGATGGGCTTCTCAGGACTTCCCTGTTCCTGTGCGCCCCTCCTGCCCAGCTCACTGCATGGCTGGCTGGGTCTGCACTGCAGGGGCCTGAGGAGAGCGGCCAGGGCTCCTTCCTGTCACAGCTGGGCCCTGCTCACAGTGCGCTTGTTGGCCTCCATGTGTCTGTGTCTTCGTGTCCCTTTTACATGTGCTGCTGCTGCTCTCCCTCCTCAGCCTTTCCTCCTTCCTGCCTTCTTCTGCTCTCCCGTGTTTCCCAGCTTCAGGCACCCATCTTTCAGGCAGGAGCTGGAGAAGCCGCTCAGCGGGGCCAGACCTCTTCCCCACCCACCCAGGTGTCTTCCTGGCCTCTAGCCCCCCTCCTGTGTGAGCAGCCGGCCTGGCAGGCCAACCATAGGGGAGTTTCAAGTGCATGGAGCAGTGGCCTTTCCCATCAGCCACAGCAGCTGCCACACAGTTTGGTCTTGGCACTTTGAGCCTCTGAGAGAGGCTTCTGAATACCCCCAGCTCCTTCCTCCACGAAGACTTTGATCTGAGACCCTGGTATATTGGTATAAAGGACCAGCTCCCAACCCGCTACCCCAGTAGAGCATGAACCAGGCAATGGACCCAGGGTTAGCGGCTCCTGCTGGGCGGGGCTCTGTGCTTGCTCCTGCGCAGCCACACCTCCTCCCCCAGCAGAAGCTCCTCCCAGCACAGTCTCTGGGAGTGTGGGGAGGGACAGGCCCCATGTGCTGGGCTCCTTGTTGGTAAGGGACAGTTGAGCTGCCAGTATGAGGTGCTGCAGAGCCATGTTGGCCTGCAAGTGACGGGCAAGTGGCCTTTGGGCTTGGTCCTGTCCACCCACTGGTGGCACCTCCCCAGACCCATTCTCATCTGGGTCTGTGGCGGCGGAAGGAGCGAGAGATCCCAGCACTAAACTCTCCCTCGCTCTGTTTTTTGAGGAACCTGAATGAACCTGAAAGCAAAGACCGGGTGGAGACGCTCAGGTGAGAGGGCCGGAGCCAGCACTGGCCCTGCCCAGGCCACCGGGCTTGCCACAAGCCGCCTGCTCCTCTCCTCCTTCTGCCTCTTGGCCCTTTCTCCGGTGGTTCTGCCCTGTCCGCACCCTCTTGTGGGCCTCCCTTCCCTCACAGAATTTCCCTTTCCCAGGCGCACATGCAATAGTTCTGGGTCCTTCTCAGATCGTAATGTATTCCAGAAGTCAGAGCCTAGCGTCCGGCATTTGGGGCTCTAGGTCCCTGCCCCTTGACTGCCTTCTCTGCTGCCTCAGCCTCTCTGGAGGGACAGTCTGTGCCACATTGCCTTGAATGCACTCATTCCTTGCATAGCCCTCCCCTCTTCAAAGAAAAAAAACTGTAACCGCATGGAACTGTCACCCCACCCCACCCGCCTGGCTTCTCACCCCCTACCCTCTACCCCGAGAGACTGAGGGCCAGAGGACTGCGCCCGCCTCTCACCCTGGGCTCCCCCTGGACCAGAGTGTGACCCTCCCTCTTCCAGCTCGCTGCTCTGTGCTCCCTCCCGCTCTCCTCCCTAGTCTCAGGGTCTGTCTGCCAGGGTGGCTCTCCTGTGGGTGGGTTGCCTCAGCCCCCAGCTGACACCCGCCTCTGCCCTCTTCGCAGACCCCACGTGGTAGGCAGTGGAGGCAATGACAAAGAGAAGGAAGAATTCCGGGAGGCTAAGCCACGCTCACTGCGCTTCACGTGGAGTATGAAGACCACGAGCTCCATGGAGCCCAACGAGATGATGCGGGAGATCCGCAAGGTGCTGGACGCCAACAGCTGCCAGAGCGAGCTGCACGAGAAGTACATGCTGCTGTGCATGCACGGCACACCGGGCCACGAGAGCTTCGTGCAGTGGGAGATGGAGGTGTGCAAACTGCCACGGCTGTCTCTCAACGGTGTCCGGTTTAAGCGGATATCAGGCACCTCCATGGCCTTCAAAAACATTGCCTCCAAAATAGCCAATGAGCTGAAGCTTTAACAGGCTGCCAGGAGGGGGGCAGCAGAGGCCTGCCAGCCGGACTTGGCTGCTGGGGCCTGCCCCTATGCCCCACCTGGGCGAGACTGCAGCAATGGATTGGCGTGTCTCCCCTGCTGGCACTTGTCCCCTCCCTGGCCCTTCTTGGTTTTTTCTTCCATGTTTGTGGGGGATGGGAGATGTTTCTTCCCCATCCCACATTCACCCTGCCCAGAAATCCCTCCTTCCCCTCTCTCCCCACCAGAGGCAGGGAGGGGGAGGGGCGGTGGGGGGGCAGGGCTCCCCCTCGGTACTGCGGTTGCACAGAGTATTTCGCCTAAACCAAGAAATTTTTTATTACCAAAAAGAAAAAAAGAAAAAAAAAAATCCCAGCAGCCACCTTTCCTCCCTGCCCCATTGGGACAGTTGAGACTGGATCTGTGGGGTTTCCCGGGAGGGTGGCTCAGGGCTGGAACACTCTCAGGCAAAGAGTGGTGGAGTTCCCTGGCAGGCCCTCCGCCAGGCCCACTTTGGGCTTCTCCCCTCTCCTCCCCTCCTTACCCTCCAAGCGAACCACCAGAGGTGGCCTTCCCCTGCCCTCAGGCCCCTGGGCTGCAGGCCTGGGCAGCTGGGGGCTGGGCGGGGGTGCTGCACAGCCCTGGAGAGGACAGGGCCGTGGGCGGGCAGGCGGCAGGGGCCCAAGCCTCCCTCCACACTGTATCCTCTGCCCCCCTCCCCAGAGCTGGGCATTCCTTCCACAAGCTGCTGTGGGGACGTTTGTTCCCCTCCTCAAAAGTCTGTGCCATCTTCTCCTACCCCTCCCAGCAGAAGGAGGGCTGACCCAGGGCTGGGAGAGGGGAGGGGACTGCGGGGCAGATGGGCTCCTCGGCCCCCAGGGGGCCACTTGGGCTGCTCATCTCCCTGACAGGGACGCTGGGCTTCTCCGTTCTGGGAGAGTCTTTGTCTGAAAGCACAGCCCCTCGCCATCCCTCCTCCCCACTGCTTCCCCGTCATTGGCATTAATCTGGGCACCAGCTCGCTCCACAGCAGTGACTGCCCGCACCACTCTCATCTCGGCCTTGCCTTCTTCTTCCTGACACTGTCGCCCCTCCTCTCAGGAGACTGCCCAGGGCCTCCATGGCCGCCTGGCGGAAGGCTGGATTGGGCGGCAGGGCCCGGAGTGTCTGCCTCCCTGGGGTGGGGACAGATGGGCGAAGCGACCCCCGCTTGCTAACCTCGGCCAGTGTGGGAGTGGGTGGCTGTGGGAGCTTGGCTGGTGGTGGCCACTGCATCCCTTAATTTATTTCTCTGCTGTTTCAGTTCTTGAAAAATGGGGGGAGGGAGTCCGACAGGCTGCCCCTGCCCTCACCTGAGTTGTACATTTTTTTGTGATGGGTTTTATTTTTTATTTTATTATTTTATTATTATTATTTTTTTTGATTTATGATGACTCCACCCCTGTTCATCACCCCCACTCCCAGGCCAGGCTCAGCAACACATCAGAGCCCTTGAGTCCCAGGAAGGGGCCTCGCCAACCTCAGCCCTCCTTACCCCCTGCTCCACCATGGCTCCGGCTCAGACCAAGGGCTCCCCCTCCCTCCCTCCTCCTGCCCTTCGGAACAGCCCGGGTGCTCCTAGGGGGCCGGGAGGGCATGGCTTGGCTCCCAAAGGGGGTGGGGGCCAGGGGCACCCAGGCCAGGTGGCCCCTCCCCACCTAGCCCCTCCCTCCCACCCGGCCCTGCACTTAGTTTCTCCTCTGGATCAAACGTAATAAAGAGAATGTTTGGAATCTGAGCTGCCTCCTCCAGTTTCTTCTCCCAGCCAGGCAGGGACCCAGTCCCCCAGGGGCAAGATGTAGCCTGGCCTGCCAGCCATCCTTACAGGAGAGAACTGATTGTGTCAGCTCTGAGGAGAGTTGGTGCTGAGGGAGGCTAGTGCTGGGTGGGCCAGCTCCCTCCCACCCTCTGGGCACCCAAAAGTAAAAGACCCAGCCAACTTAGGAGGTTGTATTTATTTATTCTTAAAAAACATTGAAAAATAAACCCATGTCTCCCTAAGTTTCCAGCCCCCCTTTCCCCAAGCTCCAGGGAGGACGGGTGAGGTGGGCACCCTCAGGGCCCTTCAGCATTCCCACCTGGTCCTGCAGAAGAATGGGACTTCCTTCAGGACTCTGCCCACCTCCCCCCACCCCTCCCCACCTCACCCCAGACTTATTGCTAAAAGGAGGGAAAGGGGAATGAGGACAGCCAACACCCCAAACTGTCCTACCCTGCCCCCATGCTAAGGTCACTACCCCCTACACACAACAGGCAGGCCCAAAGGCCAAGCCCCTCGCAGATAAGGAGGCAGCCATTCCAGTCCTAGCCAGGAAGCAGAGTCCTCAGGCCAGCTCTGAAGGCCCCTTAGCCCCAGCCTGCAACTCAGCTGCCAGGACACACGCAGAACCCACAGGCTGGGCTGTGCCAACTGGCAGCTCTGGGTCTTTGAAAGATCTGGCAAGAGCTCTAGTCCCTTCTGTCCTCAGAGATGCCGGAGATGCCAGCAAAGGGGTTCAGGAGCCCGTGGGTGGTAGAGGACCCCAAGGCTCAGAGTGAGGGTGCTGGAGGTTCCAGAGGGGCTCCGATCAGGGTAGGTGGGGGCTGAGGACCAGGGCGGGCACTGTGGCGGGAGGCAGGCAAGGCCGGGCGGATGAGAGGTGGAGGGGGCTGATTAGGAGCGAGCCGGGGCTGCAGGAAGCGGCCCTGCTGTAGTGGGGGTGGCTGGCGAAGCAGGGTGGGAGCCGTGGGCAGAGGTGGCCTCAGCAGCGGGGGAGGCTGGGACAGCGAGGAGGGCAATGGTGGGGGTGGCGGTGCAGGGGGCACCGATCTGGGCACAGATGTTGAGACAGATGTAATCTGGACCTAAGGAAAGAGAAAAGAATGAGAAGGGCGCTTATGCTTGCCCCCCGCCAGCCTCGGGGCACTCCAGCACCTCTCCTCCCCTCTGAGGGCTTCGTTCCCCTTCTCACCTCATCGTCCTCCTCTAGGGCTGGGGCTGGCAAGGGAGCCCCTCTCCTGGCCTGCTCCATGGGCACTGGGGCTCCAGGGGCCCCATCCTGCTCGGCCTCCCACTCCTGCAGCACCTCCTCCAGATTGAAGCGGCGCCGGTAGCTCACAAAGAAGGTCTTCACCTGGGTCAAAGTCTTGTTCCCAATCACCTCGGCAATAGCCCCAAAGTCTTTGCCATATCTACGGATGGCTGCAAGGGTCAAAAGGGCAGCAAAAGTGTGAATATCCTTCAGAACTAGTTACTTCCCTGCCCCTTCCCATCAGCTTTTGGGAAGGTAAGAGGTGGATTCCTGGGGTCTTCTGTTCTCCTCAATAGTCTAACCCACCTTGCACAGCCAAAAGCTGCTCATCTGTGGTCCATCGGGAGTTGAACTTGGTATTGGCCTGAAGAACAAGGGATATGTTTTGTTTTGTTTTGGTACCAGGTTTAAACCCAGGGGTACTTTACCATCGTGCTACATCCCCAGTCTTTTTTTTTTTGGTACCAGGATTGAGCAGAGGGTTTGTTTAACCATTGACCACGTCCCCAGTTCGTTATTTTGAGACAAGGTCTTCCCTAAGCTTCTGAGGGCCTTGCTAAGTTGCTAAGGCTGGCCTCAAACCTGTGATCCTCATGCCTCAGACTCCTGAGTCCCTGGGATTTCAGGCTTGTGCCACCACGCCCAACAAGGAATATATAATCTTTGTAAAGTAAAAAGTTATGGAAACAGGGGCTGGAATTGGAGCTCAGTGGTAGAGCTTACCTCAAACGTATGAGGCCCTGGGTTCAATCCTCAGCACCACATAAACATAAATAAATAAAATAAAGGTATTGTGTCCATATACAACTAAAAATATTTTTTAAAATATGGAAAACAATGTTTACTTTAGCGGCAAATATACTAAAATTGGAATGATACAGAGAAGATTAGCATGGCCCCTGCGCAAAGACGACACAAATTTGTGAAGCATTCCATATTTTTAAGTAAATGTATTAAGACACGAATGGTGTAACTCCACTTTGTATACAACCAAAGATATCAAAAATTGTGCTCTATATGTGTGATATGAATTGAATCACATTCTCCTGTTATATATAATAAATTAGAATAAGTTAAATTTATATATATATGGAAAACAGGGGCTGGGGATATAGCTCAATTGGTAGAGTGCTTGCCTCACATGCACAAGGTCCTGGGTTCAAACCCAGCACCACACACACATACACACAACAAAAAAGGAAAACAGAAGCCCTGTACCCCTTATCAATACCCCCTTTCTGTTCTGCCTCCGAGAACCCCCTTTTCCACCCAGCTGTGAGCCTTACCTCAGGGGGGCGGAGCGGGTCGATGCCACCCTCCAGGGCTTGGCGGAGGCTGCTGTTGGCCTGCTTCATGCTCTGCACCTGAGAAGGCCAGGAGGGAGGGTCATCTAACCCTCTGTCCCAGGAGGTCACCATCCCTGCCTCACCTGAGCCCCAGTGTGCAGTCAATCCCACGTTCCCCAACAAAGAGCTGTGCCACCACTGGGCACCCGGTGCATCACAACCACTCAGTGGAGCTGACACTGAGAGCCTCCCCTGTTTGCAAACCACGTTTTAAAGAGGGCCTGCATCCCAGAGGATGGGGCCATGACAGGTGTCACACCTGCGCCATCTCCCCTACATCACAGCTACCCCAGAACTTAGTTCCCAGGAGCTGCTGGCCTCCTCTCCTAGGTCCCCACCTGGCGTTTGAGGGAGATGAGCTGGGAATCGAGACCCCGGAGTGTGAGGTTGGCAAGGTCTGGGCTTCCTGACACTGCAGTGAGGCCCTCAGGACTCAGGTACATGCCCTTGGGTGGGCGTCGCCGGGTTCGGAGCGGGTGGTGGCGGTACTGAGACACCTGGACCTCCTTCTTTCCAGGGCCTGGGCGTGTATTCAGGGGCCTAGAGGGCAGAGGCTGCAGAGAAAGGAGAGAGGGCAGGTGGTGCAGAGCCGGAGGGCGGGGGAGGCAGGTGGGCAGGTGGGGCCACAGCAGCTGGAGACCTCACCTCTCTCTTGGGGTCTCCAGCATCTGGCTCTCCCTCACTCACGGCTCCTCGTCCCTCTTCAAGCTCATCGCTGTGGACACAGGAGGGAATGAGGCAGGGTCCCAGGAAGTCTGTCTGCCCCCACCCTGTGATGACCCAGACCCCACCTGTCTTCTTTGTCCTTCCGGCCACCCAGCCGCCGTGCCTGTCTGTCCATCACACTGGTTCGGCTGCGGGTCTTCTTCCAAGAGTAATAATACTTCACCAGGCTGGGAATGAGCTTGTCAGGCAGCTGGGGGAGCAAGGCCAGAGGTGGGCACCCAAGGGAGCTGGTGGGAGTGGAGGGCTGGGAAGCGCTGGGGGCGGGGCGGGCGTTACCATCTGCTGGATCCGCTGGAAGCACTTGCCGTGGAAGCCAAAGGCCTGCTCGAACAGCACCTTATCCTCCACGGTCCACTCATCAGGGAACGGGGTGAAGTTGGCCAGGTCAGCCAGTGACTTCTCCACATCATGTTTATGCCACAGGAGCATGCCCAGTGCCTGGCCCAGGACAAGGGGTAACTCAGGCTGCACTGCCCCCAGCACTGTCCCATCCCCTCCCCCAGATCTCCACAGGGGCCAGGTTCACCTGCTCGATGTTGTAGCCATGCTTCTCCTTGGCCATAGCAATGTACTTGTCAACTGCAAGGGAGGGTACAGTTCCTAACCCAGGCCTGTCCAGAGAGGGGAGGGGTACCCCACTCTGGAGCGAGGACCCTAAACCTGAGTCCCAGGGCAGAGGTGGAACCCTCAGTACAGCCTCCAGCCCACTTCTTTCTTCTTCTTTTACTTATTTATTTTTTGGGGGGTAATGGGGTCTCCCTATGTTGCCCAGGCTGGTCTCAAACTCTGGGGCTCAAGCCATCTTCCTGCCTCAGCTTCCCAAGTAGGTGGAACCATAGACACAGGCCTCAGCACCTGGCTTTCTGCCTCAACCCAAGCCACCCCCTCCCAGGGCTGAGCCTGAGCCCGGGGTACTGCCCTACTCACGCTTAGCATCTGACACGCAGTGGTTGGGTGACCACACCAACATCCCCTTCAGCTCCTTGTTGCTGTAGCGAGCTGGGCTCTCTGAAAGGCAGAGAAGGAGGAAAGACACTCAGATTAGCCAGGTGGCTCTAGCCTGGACCCAAGGCCAGAGGGCAGCAGGGGAGTGGGGCCTGAGAGGTGAGGCCCAGAAGGGAAGGAGGAGCAGAGACCAGACAGGAAAGCAGAGCAAGAAAACTCACTATGCCATGGCCACCCACCCCCGCCTGCCCGCCAGCCTGTCCTTCCAGCCAGCCAAGGGCTCCCCAGGTGCGGCTGCAGGCCAAGCCAGCGGCCCCCACCCCTCCCTCTGCCGCCTGTCCTGCCACTCACCAGGCTTGCACTCCGGAATTACGGCCTGGTAATTGGTTCCAACTCGGATCATGCTGTCTGTGGAGCCAGGGGAAGGCAGTCAGGACTCCAGGGAAGGAGGGAGGGCGGGAGGATGTGGCGGGGGAGGTAGCTGGGCTGGAGTTCTCCCTCCTGACCACCCAGGGCCCCCACCTTCCAGGAGGCTCACTTTTCCCTGATCTTCCCCCAATTACCCTCAGCCAAAGAGGGGACTAGAAAAGAGAGAGACCCTGCCTAGTCATGGCCATATCGGATGGGGAGGGGGCAAGCCAGGCCAAGCAGAGTGCTTTGTTCCAGCAGAAGGTGGGGGCTTGGAGGGCAGACCCTAGACCTGGACCACAGCCCTGCAAGGAACCCAAGGCTCCTCCCCACCACATGAGCCTCAGCTCCGAGTCGAGGTGTCTTTCCGGCCCTTGCCCCAGCCAGACCTCAGTCCCCTGCAAGGTGGCAAGGTATGGGGGACCCAATCTATGCGAGGGAGGCACGCCTAGGTCTCTCAGTGAGTAAGGGCAGGGCCAGGGCGGACAGGACTACCTCCATGGCCAAGCCTCCAGATCCCCTGGGCCAGCAGCCCCAGACTTGAGGGAGAAGCAAGGCAGAGGCTCCAACCCAGGAGGACAGGAACCATCAACATAATATGCTCCTTAGTCTGCAACTCTTCTCCCTCCCCCACTTCGCGGCCCCTGGGCCAGTCTGTGCGCCTTTAACCCCAGGCCGCCGGGCTCACCGTGCGAGTGCTCCTCCTCGCTGCTGTCATCCTCCGAGTGCGGCTGTCCGCCGTTGGGCGCCGTCTTGGCCCGGCTGCGGGACAGGATCCCGGAGCCCGCACTCGGCTTCTCCATCACCGAGGGCATTACCCCGCCTGGCTGCCCCCGGGGGCGCGGGAGCCTTCGGAGAGCGACGGTGGTTACCGCGCTCTCCTCGAGTGCCACGCGCAGCCCGGCCTGGAGAGGTCGCCACTGAGGCTACAAGAGGCAGGAGGTCAGCGTGGCTAGGGTCCGGCGGGGCGGGAGCCCAAGGGGCAGCCCCAGCGCTCCCCGCGACCCCCACGGGCGAGGGCGTCAGAAAAGTTTGTGCAGAAGTGGGGTACGCGGGGGATGAGCGCAAGGTCCGGCGCTGCTGGGGCACGCTAGCTCTGTGCGCCCCTCGGGGTTGAGGCTCCCCTGGAGAAGTCGGGGAGCCCTGCCCTCGGGGCGCCCGAAGCCCGGCCGTCCGCCTGCCCACGCCGTTCACCCGGCGAGTGCTGCAGCGTAATTTACGTCCCCCGCGGGCTCCGTGCCTCTCGGCTGCGCCAGGGATGCCCCAGTCTCGGGGTTAGGACCCCTGCCCGAACCAGACCCTCAGCCCGCGACGGCAGCCGGCGGGGCCGCGGCGGTGGCGGGACGGCGCGCACGGCGCGCGGCGCTGGGGCAGAGTTGCCGGGAGGCGGGCGGAGCGCAGCCGCGGGCGCCGCCTCGCACCCTCCCCGGCGCGCTCGCTCTCCCCGCCGCGCTCGCGCTGCTGCTCGCTCGCCCGCTCTCCGCCGCCGCTCGCTCCTCGCGCACACAATGAAGCTGCTGGCAGGGAAGTAGTGCCGGCTGCGGCCTCAGCACCCCTCCCCCAGCCGATGCCTCCGCCAGCTGAACATCTGGCCCTGGGGTGGGAGGGAGGGCCCGGGGGCGGGGCCTGGGGGCCGGGGCTAGACCTCCAGGGGGTGGGGTCAGGACCGGGGTGGGGAGCGAGTCCCTCCTTGGGGCCCTCTGCAGTCCCTGGGCCCCCAGACTTGCTCCTGGGGGAGATCCCACTGCCCCACAGGAGTAGCCGGGGGTCAGCCCCACCCACGCGCTCACCGGCCCCACACACCAGTGGGCTCGGGTTACTGCCGCCTGCCCCGGGGGCCCAGAGGCCGCCTGCCCGCCCGCCCGGGTGGAGCCCAGCTTTTCCTTCCATTTCCCTTCCTGCCAAGGAACTCCCCGCCCCCCCTTCCGCAGGGGGGACCCCCCTTCATGCGCCCTTGGGGGCCAGAGCGGATGGGAGGCCGGACAGGCGAGGAATAAATTCCTCCAAGAGCTACCGGGCCAGAGCCTGGCTTCTGGTGGATCTGTGGGTCCCCAGGGGTCACCCCAATTTCCTTTAACTACTGCAGCCTGCACCCCCAAGACGGTGGCATCAAAAGCTGAGGGATAGAAGTGGAAGGTCGAAGGGAAGGTTTGGACTGCTAGGAGAGAGAGGGGTGGGTCTCCTCCCCACTGGGTTCACTGTCACCCCAGCTGGAAGCAGCATCCCCCTCCCCCCGGACAAGCACGGGCAGAGTGACAGACAGGGAAGCGGGTAGGGAGGCACAGACGGAGATGGGGGAGGGGGTGGGCAGAGACTTTCAAAGCCAGACCCAGCCACCCTGCCAGGCACACAAAGAGCCAGCACACACACCGGCGGCGGCTCTGAGACTGCTAGCAGCGCCGGAGCCCGTCCCCGCCGCCCAGGGCACGTGCGGCAGCGCACACAGGCCCAAGCCCCCGCCCGCCGCCCCTCCCACCTGGAGCCCGGGACTCTTGGACACGCCTTCACCCGGTCACACCCCGGTGTGCCCAGACCGAGTCGCGCCTGCACTCGCGCCCTCTCTCCCTTCCCTTCCTAGGCCACTCTGTAATCAGATTCCTAAATTTAGAAGCAGCCCAGGGCTCAGCCAGGGATCCCTGCCCCCACCCACACTGCCTGCGGCCAACCGGACTGGGTCCTGAGGTGGGGCCACGACCTGGCTGGGGCCGCCTGTTCCTAGGGGGCTCCTTGCGGGCGGCCAGGCAAAGTCAGGCGCGACCCCACCCGGCTGCTGCGCTATCCGCTGTCGGGGCATTTGGGGCCACCCAGCCAGCAGCCACGTTGCCCGCCACACCTCAGGCCAAGGCTATGGGGCCTTTTTTCCTGCTCTTAAATCATGGATTGGGCACCAAGCCCCAGGGTGGAGAGGTCTGGACAAAGGAGAAAAGTGAATGGACCAAAGACCCGGTCGGAGCTTAGGGGTCCGCTTCAAGATGAAAAGTCTTTCCAGACTGAGCCCTCCTGAGTGGCGGGGTGCCATCCCTGCCCCCAGCACCTCCACCCTTTAGGGAGGCTGTCACTGTCCCGTTCTGCCTGGCAGGCAACCATTGTGTGCACCACCCTCTTCCACCAAGGCATCTTTCATCTTGCCTGCTGGGGCCTATTAGGCAGGCCTCAGTTGGGTCCCCCATCCCCCTCCTTGCCTCTTTGCATACTCAGATCTAGGGTCCTGGGCCCAGCCCCCTAAGCACCCCCCTAGGCCTCAGCATCTAGCCGATTCCTCACCACCACCCCCTGCACCTCCAGTGATGCTTGCCTCCATCTGCAGGGATGCCGAGACCGACACCGTCCCCAACCTGGAGCACCTAATTCTGTTCACACTTCTCTTAGGGCCAAAGGAAGATCTGCTCTGGAGGTGGGGGCAGGGAAGAAAGGTTTATTCCTTGGGGTGGGGGATAGGGTCCCTAGGCCCTATGAAGTGAGGTTTTAAAGAAGTAAGACCTGACACCCAGGGCCATGGTAGGAGTTGGGGGCAGCTGTGGGGGCCACGGGGTCCAGAGAGGAGGGGCATTCCTAGTGAGCAACCTTCCCCCAAGGGGCAAGGGCACACAGCAGGGTTCCAAAGGGGAGGAACAAGGCCCAGCCCTCCCCACCTGCTGCAGCCGCCCCCTCCCCAGATGGCCCCCTCTTTTGTGCGAAGGCACACAAAGGACAAGGGGCCCCGGCCGGCCTGGCCATCTGCTCCCAGCAGCCTGAAGGCTCTTAAAGAGACAGCACCCCCTCCCTTCCGCCCTGGGGCTATGGGGTGCTGTTGTACCACAGGACTGAGTCACAGCAATACCCCAGATCCCACGTACCTTTCCCTGGCCCCCTGAGTTCCCACTTTAGGAATTATCCTCCCACAGACCTGGGGTGCAGAGGTGCCACGTGGCCAGAAACATGGGGTATGGGAGGGGAGAGGAGAGGCAGCCCAGGGACCAGCCCCTCCTCTCCTCCACCCTGAGGCAGCGGAAGAGGCCAAAGCAGCCTGGTAGCCCGGCTTGTCAGCCTGCTGTGAGAACCAGAATCCCTCACCTCCCTGATGCTACCTGCAAGCTTGGCAAGTAGAGCCGGGAGCCGCAGGTCTCCCTGGAAAGCCCTCCCCACCATTTCAGCTGGGGCGCTCTACTCATCCTTCAGCCGGGAAGAGGGATGACAGCGCCTTCTCTTTGAGAGCTGCAGGCCAGGATGCAGGCTGCCTAGCAGCTCGCAGAAGCTGGTGAGCAGGGCACATTTGTTTCCTGCACTCTTCAGATGAGGAGACTGAGGCTCCCACACCAGGCCTCGGCCCGAAGCCTTCCTCCCTTCTCCAAAGGCCCCTTACCCCTCAGGTCCCCAGGGAAGTTATCCCTGGCCTGGCCAAATGCACTTGGTGCTCGGCCACACAGTTCACAAATGTACTTGATTTGTATGATGGTGTCACTGAAATCACTGCTGTGTTCTCAGGGCCTGTCATACAGCAGGCACTCACTCGGGATCAAGTCGGGAGCCCCACAGAGCATTCCTCTCCTCCAAGCTCTTCTGCAGTCTGCCAGCCAGGCATCCTGTGTCTTCCCGCAAGGTGAGGCAGAGGGGACAAAGGTTGCCCAGGGATGCTGGGAAAGGAAAGGAGGGTGACCTTGGATGAGCCATCCAGCCCCCCTCCCTCCTCCCAAAGGCGGGGGCAGTTCCAGCCAATCCCCAACCCTCAGGCCTGCCAGACAGACTGGGACTGTCCCCAGTGAGGCAGTCCGCTGTGGTGTAGTGCCTGGGACCCTGGCCAGGCCCTCAGTGGCCACAACCAAGGGGCTAAACTTGGGGAGGAAGGCAGGCAGTTAGGCCTGGGTGAAGGAGGGAGGGTGATAGGGCCTGGGCAGGAACCTGGCTGAACTGTCTATCATGGAGGCTGAAAGTGCTCCCCTCAACTGGGAGTGGGGGGAGGTGAAGTCTCTGTTGCCCTCCCCCCATGCTGCCCAGACAGGAATTTGGTCCCTCCCTGTCTTCACACCCTTTGGGCCTTCTGATGTGTGGCCCAGGTAGCTACCCTCCCATTTCTGGGCCCTCCTGGTGACACTCTGGCCTTCTAGCCAACTCTACCCAGAGTCCCTTGTGAAAAGACAGAGATGACAGAGGTAAAAGGCTGCTGCTTGGGGCAAGGACAGAGCTAAAGCTGGCATGAGGTCAGCAGGGAGACCCCAAGCTTCCTGACACCCAGGATGAGGAAAGCCGACTCCTTGAGCCAAGCAGGAACTGGAGGAAGGGTCAACAAGACCTCAGGAGACAGAGACAGAAAGGCAACAGTGACCTCCTGGGCTCCATGAGGGGGCAGCTGCATGACCCAGGAACCCACTCCTTTTCTCTGGAAGCAGTGGTGGGGGTGGTCTTCCCTACCCCTTACCTGGGCAAAAGCTGCGCCCTCTGGTGGTGGCAGCATGAACCAGCGGGGTCCTACCTTAGCCTGGACACAGACATTTTCCCAGGGAGGCTGAGCCTGGCACACGTAGGAGCCCCAAGTTCCTGGGTTGAGTGCCTGGACCATGGTCCCCTCAGGGCCACCGAGAACCTCTCAGAGTAGTCACATGCAGCAGAGGCCCCTAGAAACATAGCAGTGGAGACTTAAGAACAAGAGTGTGGAGGACAAAGGCAGACCAGGAGCTCAAATCTAGGGTGAGTCCCAGCTCACTGTGTGGCCTCAGTGCAGGTCCTTGGCCTCTCTGGACCCCAATCCCTTCATCTATAAAGGGAATGAGAGGGCTAGAGTTGTAGCTCAGGGGTAGAGTGTTTGCCTACCATGTGTGAGGCACTGGGATTGATTCTAAGCATCACTATATAAAAAATTAAATAAATAAATGTCCATTGACAACTAAAAAAATGTTTTTTTTAAAAAAGGTATGACAATCATCCTGATCTCATTGATTATTAAGAGAATTAAATGATGGAATGTAGTTAAGAACATCAATTGAGCTGGGCACAGTGGCACACACCTGTAATCCCAGTGGCTCCAGAGACTGAGGCTGGAGGATCACAAGTTCAAGGCCAGTCTCAGCAACTTAGACCCTTTTTCAAAATGCAGAATAAAAAGGGCTGGGGATATGACCCAGCAGTGAAGCGTCCCTGGGTTCAATCCCCAGTATGAAAAAAATAAATAAAAGTCATCAATTCTGAAGCTGGAGTCCCTACTTGAGCACCCTGGCAGGGCCCTCTCTGCACATGGCTCTTATAATACCCTATAGACCAGCTCAAGGTTATCCCTAGTTGGATTCCTGGATCTAACCTCTAACCTCCAGAGCAAGAAGCTTCCCCTCCATGACATCAGACAATTGACATCCTCCACATTCCTGCCTC